AATAAATAAAATCTTTAAAAAAAGCCATTAAGTTATTATAAAGTAAAATTATGATGGTTCTGCTTTAAGTAGTCTTTTTCAGACTCTTTCTCTAGTTTAAGTCGCCTCCACCTACTGTTTACTATTTCTATGAATGACAGTTAAAAAAAAAAGAAGCCAATTTTAACTGAGTAATAATTTTGCATTGAATTCTTTATTAACAATATCATAGTGGCTTCATGTCCAATAGAGTATGAAGTATTTATTTAACGTCTGTGGTTTTCTTCTTTTGGGTATTAATTATATATGTTCTCCAAGATCTCCTTACTTTTAAGTCTGTGTATAAAAAGGCCTTTTAGCGTTTAATCCTATCTAATCCTTCGCACCTTCATATATAATTGAGCAACATAAGGTCCAGAATAATAAAATGCAAAAAATGCATTACTCTTTGGAAGTAAAATTCAAAACTTTTCGAACTAAGACTCCCAGGTAAGTTTGGGAAATTACTGGTGTCACAGAACCATAAATTTTAAAGTGAGACACACTAGATGAGGAGTCCGGTTCCATCACATGCAGTTATGTGATTTCAAACAAGTTACCTCACCCACCTGAATCGCAGATTTATTTCAAATAGGAATAACAATGCCTCACAGAGTTTCTATACAGATTAAAGTGAATACTGCAAAGTCAAATATACAGCTAGCATTAACTCTCAGTTCTTTTGCCTTTAAAGAATTGCACTACTAAGTATTTACAGAGCAAGACATATAAAAGGACTTCAGATACTAATCTTTATTAATAGATAAATTCCAAACCATTTTTCTCTTCCAATAGACCTAAAGGATACAATACACACCCATCAACAACAGTAGCCCACTATAGGAGGCATGTCCTTTTATCCAGGTGGTTAAAAAAGGGAGGCACTTTAAGTAAATGTCATAAAATTTGATAACTCGAATTTTCCTCAAGTTCAAATGATATAAACACTTGTACTGGAGAAGATGAGATCGATTCAACATATTATAAAATTGTTAAATGCTGTCATAGATTAATTAGAGAACAGACTATGTCAATCTAAATATTTCTCCACAAATTATTACATGGTTCAATAACAGAAATCCAGTATACAACATAGTCCAAAGAGAAAATCCCCCAAAATTAATGAAAATAATAAACACAAAAGATTCTACAAAAAAGAGCCTCAGTATTTTTTTAACAATATTTATGATTCAAATATGCTTTTTTGCTAGGATCTGGTTATTGCATTCCTAAGAAATCTATTATTTAAGCTATCTTTATATATTCACGTACACACGTCATTAAATGCTAAACATACTAATTCAGCCTAACACAATATTTAGTTTTCTTTTTTTAAGTCAGGCAATTTTTCCTTAACCACATCTGGATGTTATTACATATAGCTTTAGATTAACTTTTGTTAAAGCTACCAAAACCCTGTTCCTTACTGCCATGACAGCCTTAATTAAAATGTAGTTCCCTAGAGCTGACTGTTTTTGTCTTATACTTTGAAGTATGAAAATGTGTAATGAATGAACTTTTATTTTTAACATAAACTATACTGTGAAACACAAAATGCGGTCTTCAAAAAAAAGACTCTAAAGTTAAAGCTTAGCAAATAATTTTAAAGTATTTAAAAATGAACACATAGGAAGTGTTACATTAAACTTTTGGCAATTCTTTTTATGTGGGAAAATATTCAGCTGCAGGGTGGAATGGCCACATTAAGTACAGCTATAATTAATATTAACACTGCATTTGTTATCTGTGCCTTAAAGAGAACAGCACTAATTGCTTAAAACCAACCTAAGGAAGTTAAACCATTCTTGGACTTCTTGAACATGACTGTATCTACTCCCAAGCCTCACAGTTTGTGGGTCATAGTCTTCATGGTCTGCAAATTAACAAAAATTATGCATAATACACATGTATATCCACATCAATACCAACTTTTACTTAAGGAAATTATAAGGTCACTAATCACTTATTATCAGGCAACCTATAATAGTAGTATTGGCATATCCAATTTCCCCCACAAAATTAACATTTTACACAGCCAAAAGGAAAATAAAATCCACTGATGTACAATCAAAAACTTTTCAGCACAACTCCCTTTCATTCTTCATATATACTGAAGCAATCTGTGAGTACAGTTTATGATGTTTTCCCTCATTAATACTAAAACTTTTCTTACAGAAAAGAATTTTAGGAAAAGAATTTTAGAGTAACAAATACCACTAAGGGCACTCATAGAAAAATTAGGGTGACTAAGGTGTTAATATATTTGATAATTATCAAAGTACCCCAGCACCAGAGTACCAATGTCTCTAACAGCCTCAAATATTAAAAAAAAAAACCTACCCTCCCAATATGATTACAAAAACCAATATAACTAGGCCTAGACTCAGTGGGAAATCCAATTTTTAAAACATAAAATTAGTAAGTACTTTGGACTTCCTTTATTAACATCACATATGGTAGGTGAAAAATCCTTGGTAGGTGAAAAATCCTTAGTCGGTGAAAAAGAAAAGGAAAAATTTAAAAAGTATATATTATCCTAAAAATATCATGTACACTATTTTGTGTGTATGTGAGATGTTTTATTCAAAAAGTCAATTCAGACTTATAAAAACCTTTCCTCCAAAAAAAATTCTCGTAAGTCTGTTTATTCAGTATCAGGCAAAAGAACATCACAAAAGTATTAGAAGGCTTGGATAAAGCCCTCTGCCTGGAACCAAGCTGGTCTGTATGCAGAACAGAAGATGGGGCAATTAAATGCCTCCAGCAAGCACGGTCAACGATTTAGGAATCAAAGACATTTATTTCAAACTTTTAAATATTTTTTAAAGATTTTATTTATTTACGAGAGGGAAGAGGGTCAGAGGGAGAAGCAGACTCCCTGCTGAGCAGGGAGCCCGATGTGGGACTCGATCCCGGGACTCCAGGATCCTGACCTGAGCCGAAGGCAGTCACTTAACCAACTGAGCCACCCAGTTGAAGCAAGTTACAAAGGATTTGGAAATTATACAATTCCTTTTTAGTAATAAGTACTGATACATGTGTTATATATCTCTTAAAACTTGATTGTGTCAGGGACGCCTGGGTGACTCAGTTGTTAAGCGTCTGCCTTCAGCTCAGGTCTTGATACCCGGGTCCTGGGATTGAGCCCCACATCGGGCTCCCTGCTCTGCAGGAAGCCTGCTTCTCCCTCTCCTACTCCCCCTGCTTGTGTTCTCTCTCTCACTGCCTCTCTGTCAAATAAATAAATAAAATCTTAAAAACAAAAAAACTTGATTGTGTCAGTAATGTTACCAAAGAATTCTAATCCTTTCAAAATTGTTAAAGGCAACCCAAGTTTTCCAAATTTTTCCACATCAGAAAAACAGCACCTAGATGTAAAACCATGACTTGCTATAAAGATGAATAATATAGAATGTTTAGAAATGTTATCTCAATTTCAGTAAAGAAAGGAGACCCACATATTATGACTGTTTTGTATTTTCCTTATGAGTAAGCATCTGCAAGCAATTTTACAACTTCTTGAGAATCATCAATTGCACCAAACCTTAAGCTTCCAAAATTAGAGAAAATTTTTCCCACTATATATAAGTTTTCTGGTTTTTCAGAGCACTGAACTTGAAATACTATGAGACTAAACTCTGGACTACCACTTTAGCTGCTTTTTATACCTTAAATACTTTTGTCTAAAAATGTGTGTGGGTTTATTTGGCAGATCAGTTGGTGGGAGGAGAGGAGAGCTTTGTGTAACTTTCTTTTTTGATATAATGTTTTCAAAGCATAAAAATAATAGCAGGAACTATACTTTACCCAGATACATATAATTATTTACATTCTGTCCATTTGTTTTATAAGGTTTCTATTTTATGTATATATTTATCAGTTTTGTTAACCATTTGAAGGTAAACTGGATACCAGTTACTCTACCCCTTAAAACTATATTTACAAATAACAAAGACATAAACCCCAGTATACTCATCTGATTTTAAGATTAATAAAAGAGTATTATCTGATCCACAGCCTATATTTAAATTTCATCCCAATAACATCCAACCCCGATAATGTACTTTATGCTTTCCTTTTTTCCTCAGTCCAGAATCAAATTTAGGCTCATATATTGCATGAGGTCATTTCCTTAAGCCTAGAGATTCCTTAGTTCTTTTTCATGTTTCTTATCTTGATAGACCATTTTAAAGAATAAAAAGCTGCCTGGGGCGCCTGGGTGGCTCAGTTGTTTAAGCGTCTGCCTTCAGCTCAGGTTATGATCTCAGGGTCCTGGGATTGAGTCCCACATCGGGCTCCCTGCTCAGTGGGGAGTCTGCTTCTCCCTCTGCCTGCACTCCCCCTGCTTATGCTCTCCCTCTCTCTCTGACACATAAAATCTTAAAAACAAACAAACAAATAAACAAACTCTTGTCCAATGCCACTTAATTTGGGTTCATGTTACCTCTAGTTTCATTCAGGTTATGTATTTTTGACAAGAAATACCACAAAAGATATAATAATTTGTGGAATGATATTCTGATACTATGTCATTATTCTGGTCCTCATCAAAATTTAACTCACTAGTTTTTTTTTTCTGTTATTTTTTCCTATATTTTTAGTTGACATTCTCCTTCTTTATTCATTTATATCACTATGGACTCAAGCACTTATATACTGAAAAGGCTATGATCCATAGTATCATTATTATGATGCTCCAAGTATTACAGATTGACCTAGTGAGCAATAACTTCTTTATCTTTTTGACATGCCAATATAGTTCTTTATATACAACTTATGGCATTAAAATATTCAAGTCTCATCCTGTACTTTCCTACTATAGGCCTCCAGAGAGTTACTAGCTCAATAAAATGAGAATACTAGGTAAAAGTACTTTGTAAATTACAGTAACCCACAAATATCTAAAAGTTCTTCATGGCTCACATATAGAAATGAGGTAGAACTACTAAGTGAACTGAGTCAGGACATGTCATTCTACCAAAGGACTCTTGTTGAATGACCCTTGCAAAGAGAACTTTAAGTTGGCAAGTAGTCCTGAAAATAGTCCTGAAAATGAAATCAGAGAATGGGAACGGGGTACTGCAGTGTCAGTCCTTAGAAAACACAGGTCTAAATGAATTTTAATGTGTTCTATAATTAGTGTAAGTCCTCATAATCCTTATCCAGAAACTGAAGAAAATGACACCTAAAACTCTAAGTGCAAATCAGTGCAAAGGATCCATTCTAATGAACTAAATTGACCTGTATCATACTTTGTTGGTGCACATTTAAAAAAAATGTGATTGAGGAAATACTGAGGCATATGAAGCTCACTAAGAAGGGGTCATCAGAGCTCATTTTTATTTCCATGTATAAAAGTTGGAAAGGATTTTATTAAGTTACTGAAAGTAGAAGTGCAATCAGCTGGCCATACCATTGGGGCACTAACCTCTTCCAAAACCAAAGATGCATTCTAGAAACACAATGCAGTGCTGGCAAATGTATAACACCAATGAAATGACACTGAACAAGCATCAGTGAACTGTGAGAATCTTGTATCATCTGATAGTGTATGTTGTCATTTCAGGAGAACAAGAAACATGCTTCTTATATAAATGTAATCACCACAGTTTGTGTTGTTTTTTAGCTCTAGGTCAGAAGTAATTTAATGTTAAAAGTTTTAGGAGCAAACCCCATTTTAGGGCACCTGGGTGGCTCAGTCAGTTAAGCGTCTGCCTTTGGCTCAGGTCATGATCTCCTGATCCTGGGATGGAGCCGTGCACTGGGCTCCTTGCTCATCAGGGAGTCCGCTTATGTCTCCCCCTCTGCCCCTTCTCTCTGCACATGCTCTCTCTGTCTCTAAGAAAAAAAGAATCTAAACTACATTTTAGCAAATATTGACTCCTTTAGGAAATACACAGTCTTGTTATCTTCATTTTACCAATTTGGTAAATTTTAACTACAGAGGCTTAATTAACTTAGAATTTATATAGATTAAGTTTAAACTGTCTAAATTTAAAGCCTGCACTCTTATTTCTAACCTTCCAAAAAAGCAATATAGAGAAGATTATGAAGAATGCTGACATTCTTGGGGAGCCTGGGTCACTCAGTCAGTTAAGCATCTGCCTTAAGCTCAGGTCATGATCCCAGGATCCTGGGATCGAGCCCCGAGTTGGGCTTAGAGGGGTATCTGTTGCTCCTTCTCCCTTTGCCCCTCCCCCCGCTCATGCTCTCTTCCTCTCTCTCAAATAAATACAATCTTAAAAAAAAATGCTGACATTCTTGAGGTCATGAAAGTGAGAGATGCCAAGAACATAGATACAATTTGACTAAATGGAATAGGACCCTAGTGAGGGAGAAATGCACATGTGCCCCATCTGACTGACTGCCTTGGCAATTTGGTTTTTACTGATAATGACATTAAAATAACATAAAATCACATAAAGATGGAAGTAAATTAAACTTATCACTGAAGCTTAATATGTAGGTGATTCCTTTTAGGAAAGGTCTTAATTGGCATTAGGAGGGCTCTCTACCAGGAATAAAATTTAACATCCTAAAAATCTCAAGAGAACTACATTTAAAATTCTAGCTTATTCTCACTGATTTTGGCTGCTCTTGCTAGAGAAAAATCACAAAGTTTCATGCCTATAGTACCTTCCCTATCCTACCATTTTGCTAAGAAGGAACACTAGAACCTAAAATGAGGCCAATTATAACATCTGACGCTTAGACTGCTTTTCTAGCCCCAGGACTAGAATGGACACACTGGGTAAACTATAAAAGGAACAGGAAGCCAATGCAATCATTAGGTGTATCTAAAAAGTTGCTTAATTTTTCCATTTTGTTTCTATAACTTTTATAAAGCTAAGTATAAATTAGTAACAATGTGGGGATCAAACCATCAAACCACACACACCTCAACCATCTAAGGCACAAGCACAAGTACAGAGCCTATTATTCTAGTCAAACAATGAGTATTAAAAATATCCCCATTTTAAATATATAACTCAATTCTACACATCCTGACATAAGCATGTCCACAGAGTAGTATTTTCAGTTCCACATTATGCTCAATCTGGTTTTCAACTGGAAAGTGGAAAAATTTTCTTCTCTGTACTCAAATACACAAAATTGGGCCTATAAGTCAGCTGGGTTTTTGTCTGTCTATGAATCTGGTGTAATACAGAGGAGGTATAGATGTATGAAGAATACTTTGTGTGTTCAAGCACACATAGATTCTAATAAAACTTTTGATAAGGACAAATAATATTGGAAATGATCTTTAAAGCATCAAAAAGAGAGTCTCATATGGCAAATATTAAAAAGGTTTCTGTTGTAAACCGGAGGAAAGTTTATCTTAACATATTTAAACAGTTTCACATTCTGAGAACCAATAAGAACATGTCATTCATCCTGTAAATTTCTAGTAATTTTTTTGAACAATGGAAAATGTTAATTCGGGGTTATTAAAAACTGTAATGTATTATTCCAAAACAAAGTTGGTCAAAATTAACAAATGAATTATTAATCAAGTTTTCTTGAAAAGCAGTGTGGCAAGAAGAATGCAAAAATTTAAAGTAAGTTAGGTAAATACCCAAGATAATATCAACCAATGTGGTAAGAGCAGACAGAGCTCCCAGATGTGGAAAGATAAGCAGTTAGTAACAGGCCTTGAAAAGCTGACCTAAAGTTTAGTTGATAAAAGTTTTGAAAGGCCGAGTAGATGTATAAGAGTATTGGACTTCCATCTTCTGATCTAGGAAAAACTTATATATTTTCATTTCTGAGGTAATTAACACCGAGGATAAACAAAAACCAGGGGAGGGAAGCCTATGCTTGATCCCCAATAGTTAATTTTAGTTATTATACATACCTCTAGCATACAGTCGAACAATATTCATGTAAGTTGCAAGGTTTTCTGCTACCAAAGTAACTAAGGCATGATTGTGCTGAAGCTGGTTGATTAAATCATGACGATAAAATACATGGGGACTTCGCTGAGTTTGACTAAAACGAGAAGAACTTAATATAATTAGGCAATGAACACTGTTGTAACTAAGAATTTACAAAGACTATCCCAACTGCTAATTCAGATGTTTAAAATGTTTTACATTCATAATAAAAATTGGGTCAATATCCTCCTTTTAATAGCAAAATATCAAGCAGTTTAAAGAGAATAATCAAGGTCTCATAACATAAATATTTATTCTAACATTCTCATCTTATATGAAATCACCAATCAGTATTCTCCAACTTCAGATAAGACATTAATCTTATGTAAGTAACAAAGCACAGGCACAAATTTGCATGGGCAAGGATATTAGCCCTTAAAAGTTCATTCTGTTAGCCCTGAATGTGCAACCAATTTTGCCCCTGAATATAACCAGAAAGAGACCCAGTTCCCTTTCTATTTTGCCATTTTCAATGAAACCAATCAATGCTCACTTCATTATTAATCCACTGGTGATTAAATTGCCTGCCTCTGAAGACTATGTAATACCACATGAATAAATAAGCAAACAAAAAATGGGTATGTTCGATAAAAGACATGTATGGTGAATCAACCACAATCAAAATATGTCCTTTATAAAAAAATATTATCATAGATTATTTCATGATTTCCTCCAGTATTTATGTCCACGAAGTTTCCTAATTTCATGTAATTTTTCCAGCATTGGAAAATAATCAAAATCCAACCTGAAAAATTAAAGCATAAAAGTGGGAATCTGTAGGGGCTTCTGGGCAGCTCAGTTGGTTAAGCATCTAATTCTTGATTTCAGCTCAGGTCATAATCTCAGGGTCGTGAGACTGAGTCCTGTGTCAAGCTCTGCTTGGGGTGGGGAGACTGCTCAAGATTGTCTCTCTCCCTCTACCCGCACTAGACCCACCCCCCATCCTGCCCGCTTGTTCACTCTCTCAAAAAAAAGAAAAAAAAAAGGCATTAGGTAATTCAGTTTGAACAGGAATCCTGTTGACACACACAATTATATCCACCCAGAGCTGTAAAAAAAAAATCTTGGCAATCACATAATTGTCTTAGAGAATACAGATTCTAAATGGTTAGAGACTCTTTCTATGATTACTGCTAGTTAGAGAAACTAGGGTTCACTATCAGGAAGCCTAACTGCACCTAAACCCTGTTGCACTATTCCTAAGATTTTTCCATGTTATTTTTTCTTTATGTGTCATTAGTTCCAGACTGATTACAAGAAAGTAAAAGGTAAATTATTCCCATAACCATAACCACAATCTAGCATCAAGACCAAACATAAAATCAGATCTTTAAGAAAAATCTAAATAGGGGTGCCTGGGTGGCTCAGAGGATTGTTAAGCATCTGCCTTAGGCTCTGGTCATGATCCCAGGGTCCTGGGATCGAGCCCCATGTCTGGCTCCTGGCTCAGTGGGGAGCCTGCTTCTCCCTCTCCCTCTGCCTCTCCCCTTGCTCATGCTCTCTCTGTATCTCTGTGTCTCAAATGAATAAATAAAATCTTAAAAAAAATCTAAATAAAATAATATAGTAAAAATTATCTTTAAATAAAATCTTATTTTCATAAATTAAATCACTTATTCTTATCTTGAAACCCATATGGGTAAAACAACCTATGCCATAATGTTTGGTGTATCTGCTAGAAGTCCAAGACAATTCTGAACAAAGAACTCAAGGCAGTATCTTGAATGTGATACTAAATTGTTATTTTAACATTTGATTTTATTGGTATGCTGTTTTCAACATAATATATACATAAAAATTAGAAAATTTTCTATATTAAAAGCCTTACCTCAAATTTTGAGGTGCTTCACCAAACAAACTACAAATTTCTCTTATCTGTTTCAGTGCAGGAATCACCCACTTGTCATTTGTATGAAGTTCTTCTATAAAGCGATCTATCCACTGGATCTTCTGTGTGTCTCGATCCTTAAATACACATACAAAAAGTTAATGTTATATTGAGCAGTATTCAACATACTTCTATCTTCAAAGCTTTTTGATAAGGATCACAAAAATTAGGAATATGTATGTTCTTATTTTGAAATGATCACCAAAGCTCCAAAATGTAAAGTACTACTATAAAAATTCAGTATTCCAGATTTAGATATATATGCACCAAGATATAAATCCCAAGTTTAGGAATATTAACAAGAAATCTGATTTTATTTATTTTTTTTTTAAAGATTTTATCTATTTATTTGACAGAGAGAGAGAGAGAGCACAAGTAGGCAGAGAGGCAGGCAGAGGGAGAGGGAGAAGCAGGCTCCCCACTGAGCAGGGAGCCTGACGTGGGGCTTGATCCCAGGACCCTGGGATCATGATCTGAGCCGAAGGCAGCCACTTAACCAACTGAGCCACCCAGGCACCCCAAGAAATCTGATTTTAAAATATATGCTCATATATGCAGATTACATTTTTATTCAGTGTTTTATAAGGTTTCCATATCATAAAATTTAGCAAAAACATACAATCCAAAATATGAGAATGATGTTAGCATATTTTTCTAATAGGAGCAGGGAACCTAAAAATTTGTATTTCATCCAGAAAACAACAGTATGAGAACACTACATGTGAAATATTATACATCAATTATACTTATATAAATTTTATATTAGATATTTAAAAATATATACATCTTTTATTATAAGACTTTAAAAAACCCAACATACAGGATTGTTATACAAAACAGATGTAAGTACTCACCCTAAAGGCAAACTAAGAATGTTCAAGAATGTTGTAGGAATATATTTCTTTCTAATATTCGGAAATGGTATTTGCTTTTCTTTCTTTTTAAAGATTTTATTTATTTGACAGAGGGAGACACAGTAAGAGAAGGAACACAAGCAGCGGGAGTGGGAGAGGGAGAAGCAGGCTTCCTGCAGAGCAGGGAGCCTGATGCAGGGCTTGATCCCAGCACCTCAGGAACATGACCTGAGCCGAAAGAAGGCAGATGCTTAACAACTGAGCCACTCAAGCGCCCCTTTGCTTTTCTTTTTATCTAGGATCACTAGGAATCAGAAATTCACATGAGTACTAACAAATTTTCAATTGGAATGATTCTATGGAAGAAAAATCAATTCTGTGTTTTATCTCTTTACTGTCTCTTTTTTTGGTCTATTTTTCTCTTTTTATCTCTTTATTGTCTCACTTAAAGTACATTTTTGCAAGCACAGGCACATCTCTTTTAGAAATAAAACACAGTTCTTATTTTAAGTATTACCATTAAATACCATGGACATGCATCCAACAACAGTTTAAAGACTACAAAATATGCTGTGGAGTGTATTCACGAATTTAAGTGATTTCCACTTTTCATTCTTTAAGCAAAGAAGAATGGTCTAGTCCAGGGGGCCCCTGGGTTATTTAGCTGGGGGTTAAGCATCCAATGCTTGCTTTTGGCTCAGGTCATGATCTCAGGGTGAAGAAACTGAGCCACGTTTAAGTTCAGTACTGAGTGCTGAGTTGGCTTGGGACTCTCTCCCTCTTCCCCCTCCCAGCTTGTGCACACGCCTGTGCTCTCTCTCCCTCTAAAATAAATAAATAAATAATATATATTTTAAAAGATTTTTATTTATTTATTTGACAGAGAGAGAGACAGCAAAAGAGGGAACACAAGCAGGGGGAGTGGGAGGAGAAGCAGGCTTCCTGCTGAGCAGGGAGCCCGATGCGGGGCTCAATCCCAGGACCCTGGGATCATGATCTGAGCCGAAGGCAGACGCTTAATGACTGAGCCACCCACGTGCCCCTAAAATAAATAAAATCCTAAAAAAAAAGGATTAGCCTGTAAATATCATGCTTTTTCATATCATTCCCTAGGAAAAAATTTCTAGATGTGCAATTATAGGGTTGAACTTTATGAACATTTTTAAGGATTTAAAAATGTTTATCCATGAATATTAAATATGTCATGACTTGTTAAAAAAGTGGTTTGGGTTGACAGGGCAAGAGAATAAGATATTCATTTGTTTAAATAACTAGAGCAAATGAAGGCTGAAACTGAGAAAGGGAAAACTCTTTTTACTAAATCCCATGAAATCCAGTTTTCTATTAATGTGATAACAAGCCATTGTGCCAAGCAATGATGTGAACAACTAAATAAAGGAGGAAGTAACACTTGAGCTTTTATAATAAGTGTGTGACTTTGAGCCTCTATAACACTTCTCTATTTAATAAAATACAGTTTAAACTCAAGGTCTTCATAAACATTTGAGAAGCTTTAATGGAAAGTTAAGTACAATGAATCAATCAATGAAAAATCAAATACTGTCATCCAATCAAATGACTGGACTGTCTTTTTTTTCCTTTGATAAATCTGAAACTCCTAAAGCATCACTACAAATCTAACGTATTGTTCCACTATAATTTTTAAGATTTTATTCATTTATTTCGGGAGAGGGTGAGTGGGGGAGGGGCGAAGGGAGAGACAGAGAATCTGAAGCCGACCGCTGCTGAACACAGAGCCTGACACAGTCCTTCATCTCAAGACCCTGAGATCATGACCTGGGCTGAAACCAAGAGTTGGGCACTGAACTGACTGAGCCACCCAGGCACCCCTGGCACTATGATTTTCAAAATTTCCATGTTTCGAATCTACTTGTAAAAGAAAGTAATTAGGATAAATTTTAATTTATCTCTTCTTCAGAAAAAGAAATCAGTTTTATATGGACAGATGCAATTAACTATTCCAGAGACTAGAATGACATCTTCATTCTTATATATCCCAGGTAAAGAATGTTCTCTGAATTTATTCACACAGCTCTCTGTATGTATATATATGACAGTACTTTTCTTTCTCTCTCTCTTCTTCCTTCCTTCCTTTTTCTTTTTCTTTCTCTTTCTTTTTTTCTTTCTTTCTCTTTCTTGCTTTTCTTTCTTTCTTTCTTTCTTTCTTTCTTTCTTTCTTTCTTTCTTTCTTTCTTTCTTTCTTTTTCTTTCTTTCTTTCTTTCTTTCTCTTTCTTCCTTCCTTCCTTCCTCTCTTTCTTTTTCTTTTTCTTTCTTTCTTTCTTTCTTTCTTTCTTTCTCTTTCTTCCTTCCTTCCTTCCTCTCTTTCTTTTTCTTTTTCTTTCTTTCTTTCTTTCTTTCTTTCTTTCTTTCTTTCTTTCTTTCTTTCTTTCTTTCTTTCTTTCTTTCTTTCTTTCTT